GGTCTGAGCACTGTCCCTGAGCCTCTTTGTGCTCAAGGCTAGTGCTCTACCACTTTGAATCATACAAACCATGTATGGTTTTTGAGTGGTAAATTTGAAGTAAGAGTCTCATGAGGGCCTTACTGCCTAGGCTGGCTTTGAACCATGATCATTAGATCTCAACCTCTTGGGGTAGGTAGGATTTCAGGCATGAGCCACAGATGCCCAGCCCTTGTGCTGTCTTCAAGAACTTGGTAACACAGAAATGGAAGGACAAAGGTTAAACAAATGCAGCAGTAGTACTTGCTAGGCACTATGTTGAAAATGTGTGGGTAGGAATGGGAAGGAAAAACTGGGAGAGAATGAGGGAAGAGGTGGTACCATCCCAAAAGAAATGTACTTATTACCTGACTTATGAAATGGTAACCCTTCTGTACATTACCTTTATAATAACAATTTTAAAAAAGAGCTTGATAACATCTTAAACTCAAGTAAAGATATAATGGGTGAGAGATCATACAACTGTATCCATCATCTGACTCTAGATCTTCTTTGTATTTTTATTAATTCCTTATTATTACAATTCAGCTTTGGAGATGTAGAATTTCTTCTAGAATGTTAGAAAAGAGACTATTGAATTCTAGTACATTTTACAATTAGGCAATCAGTCAACATTATCTGCTATCATTAAGAGTAAACAGACCCAATCTAAAAATCTCCCTAGTGACAGATTCATCATTACTCATTAATCTCATAGTTTTTAATTAAACTACTATACCTAATCCTCTGGAATCATGTGCAAGAGATAGAATTCTTAAGAAACTGTAATGACACTGCAAGCTGGTCGTTTGTGCCTATAATCCTAGCTACTCAGGAGACTGAGAGCTGAGAATTGTAGTTAGATACCAGCCCGGACAGTAAAGTCTTTAAGACTCTTTCTGTCCAACTAATGAGTAAAAAGCCGTATGTGGCAAGGTGGTAGAGCACCAACCTTGAGGGGAAAAAAATAAGGGATAGTTCCCAGGTCCTAAGTTCAAGCCCCAGTGCTACCAGCACATGCATATAACAACAAAAATAAGCTATAATGAAACACATTTAACTATAGAAATGTACAGTGCTTTATAATACAAAGGGCAAAGGGCTACCAAGATAATCAGTGATACATACACATACACACACACACACATACATATACACACAAAGCACAGTACAGGTAAACACCTTACAAAAAAGAAACATTGAAGTAAAACTAAGCATGGCCCCAGAACAGCTTAAAGTTAGAGGAAAGAGTATATGTTCAACAATTAAAACTCCTAAGTTTAGAAAACAGAAAAAAACTTTAAAAGCTTTAATAAATCCAGATTTCATTTCTACAATGTCTAGAGTGCCCAACCAATATAAAAGAGACAGCATGATTATTGCTTATATACTAAGTATAAATATATCTATATATATATGTAAATAAATACCCCAATAGCCTCTAGAATTAGAACTCATTCTTTTCTTAGACCCTCCTCTATCCCGTGGAGCAAAATCATAAAGGGTGTTTTGAAATATTGTTTTAGTTATCCCTACCAAGTTATAACTTATGCATTTCCTTTTTCTTTTCCCAAAACATGCTGAAAACTCATTTTTCTTGTCATTTCTCTGTGCCTCAATTTTTCCAATAGCAACATTTATCTCATTTGCTTAACTAATAATAAATATAGGAAATTGTCAATTGCCTTTTCAAATGAATAGAAGTAACAGACATAATTCAAGAGACATTTTTCTTTATGACTTCCGGTTGATTCTATGGACTTTGGACCAGCATTCCTTTTGTAGGGAGCATAAATCTGAGAGAGAGAGAGAAAGAGAAAGAGCCACAGCACCACTTCCAGCTTTTTCTGCTTATGTGGTGCTGAGGAATCAAACCCATGGCCTCATGCATTCAAGGCAAGCACTCTACCACTGAGCCACCTTCCCAGCCCTGAAAGTTTTTTAAAATACTGTTTTGTAACTCTGTAGTAGCTCTGTCAATAGGCTTTACCTTGTAACTGGAGGCAAGCAGCACAGGAGAGGCCAGCAACATAGGCTTGGCTGTAAATACCAAAAGTACTAGCTCCCAAATAGTCAAGAGGTTGTCGCAAAAGAATGTGCCGCATCTATTCTCATAGTCTAGTCTCAATGATACTCATCAGGAGAGGGGAAGATATTGAGCAAAAGCCGACTCTTGAAAAATCATTCTTGCTTTTCAAGGTGCAGATATTGACATCCTATCGGCTGGCAATCCAATCACAATGAAAAAGGACTGTGTGGTTGTTGCTGAGGTCAGGGGAAATATCCAATGTCCAACACTGACCTTCTCTGAAACCTTCCCAGGAGAGCTGGTATTCAAAAATCACCCTTCACCTTTTATAAACTTTGGATTCGATGGGGCAAAAAAAAAAAAAAAGTCCCACAAAGTAAAATCCCATTCAAAACTATATAGCTAGTGTTAATAAACTTCAGACTACTAATTGATTTTGTTGGTGGTGATGTGCCTGAGATTCAATTTCCTTTATTTTTGTTTATTCTTTAACATGATTGTACTTTTCTCCTGGCCATAAGCTGTCAACTTGTGACTTCTACTCATTATTCTATTACTAGTTTCTTTAGTTAACAGATAATGTAACAGTAGCTTAAGGAAAGTACCCCCACTTACCCAACTAACTTTTCATAAAGAACAAAGCTAAACCATGACACAGGCAGCTAGCTCCAAAGGCCATGCTCTGAACCACAAGAATGCATGAGAAAAAGAAGAGCTGACTTCTTAGGCAATTGCTATGATTACAACAAATACAACAAACACAAATACTGCATCTTGTCTGTGCCTCTTTCAGTGCAGGCATATTCTACCTCTACATATTTACACTGTCTGTGATAGGATACTAGATTGAGACTAGAAATGAAGACTGAACCCACAAAGCCATTTTGTCTATCACAATAACTTTTGTGCCCCAGGAACAAAGTTATTTCTTGGCTGTTTGTGAAATGTGAGATTTCCTAAGAAAAGTTAAATCACTATGGCAGTGGTTGCTACCAATGACTTCTGTTTTGTTTATATGCGCCAAGCACTTTAGCAACATGCCCTTATCACATTTATTATTTGCTCAGACCAATAATGTTTTAAAAGATTTACTTGCTCTTCCACATATCTGAGGCTCACACAGTGATCATAATTGGATCAATCTCTCTATAGTGGTTTTAATAAGTGGATTCAGGGAAAGCATTCGAATCTGATAGAAAACTGAGCCTTTGTAATTCAGTCTGAGCACAAAAATGAACTTTGGTAAATCAATAGGATTAACTGAGACATCTATGCTCGAGTGTGTTCCCCTAGGCTTAATGTATTTTTCCTCACTGCATTATACTTTAATGATGAATTTCATGCTCTTTCATGGTGTTTTAGCTGGTGACTCATAGGTACTACATTGAAGGAAAAGTGAGGAATCATGTGTGATGAAAGATGTGAATGATTAAAGTCACATCTTATGCTCAACATGAAAGCTGCAGAGGTCTCAATATCACCGTTCTAAATTACAGGTCATTATCAGGAAAACCGGCCACATAGAGTAAGGTTAGATGAAGCTGAGTGCAGTAGAAAGACTTAGATTTCTTAAATGTGTTTGGCTAAAGCTATATAAAGTTGAACAGGAACCAAGACTGAACTGGAATCTTTTCCTTAAAGGGATGCGGATAAGAACTGATTTCAAAGACAATTGCAAGAGAGGAACAGAGAAAGAAATCGACTAAGCTGGTAACATTCTGAAGCAGCCAAATGCCCATTCTTGGACACTCAGATTTCTAATATCAATACTGTCTGATGCCTGAACTTTTCTATTTGACTTGGTTTACAAAGAAGAATATGGTTAATTAAATCTTAGTCACCAGAATCTAAAAGGGCTGTGGTTTAAATCAAATATGGCACTTTTTTAAAAACCATGAACACACATGAATATTTCATCAACCCAATCATATAGATCAATATCCAGAAGCAGTATGTATCTAGAAGAGAAATCAGAAGTAAACTGAATTAGAGATAGCCACCTGATAGGCTTTGAAACTTGTTCCTAAAATGGATTTTTTTTTCAAAGCAAAGCATGGAGAAAACAGAGCCAGCTTCCCCCCAAAAGAAGACAAAGTTTCTTCCATCAACGCACAGGCAAGCTGTAGTAAAAACAGCTATTCTGCAAACAGGTGGTTTTTCAACTTTCCCTTAAGGAAGGAGAGGGGAAGGGGGAGGGAGGAGAGAAAAAGAGAAAGGGAGGAGGATTCTATTGCAGCCAGAGACGCAAAGAAAACACTCAGACAAAACAGAACCAACCCAAACAAGCAGTTTGCCTTAACTTGGATCTCTGCTGGGCCTGAGGTATCCTCCCGGTCCTCATTAAGGTAAAAAGGGAGACCTCAGCGAGAAAAGGCTTGGTGGATGTCTGTCTGTCTGCCCGAGGGTACAGCACTTTTTAGGTCATTCCTACTTTGTTTTCTACCCCCCCCCCGCCCCGGCCCCCACGGTTAAATGATTTCATAAACATGGCTAAGGAAAGCCTGCAGGCTGGCACCCCGGCGGCCTTTTCTTCCCTTCACCTGTGCAGATCACCAGATGCATCCATCTCACGTGGGGGCAACGCACAGGTGTCCCTGAAAAAAAAACCCCACCTAGGGGAAGAGATGGGGGAGGGGGGACCGGGTAGAATGGGTGCGCTCCGGTCCCCTACCACTCCGGATGTTCTGGGTGCGGGGATGGGGATGGGGGGGTCACTGCCACTCCGGGGGCCAGGACAAGACGCGCTCCCCTAACACCCGCTCCAAAGTCAGCAGTCCCCACGCACGGGGCACCCCTGCAGTCCCCGCCCAGGGAAAGTTTCCCCTCCGTCTCCCCCTCTTCCCAGGCCGGACGCAGCGGCCCCGGGGGAGGGTGGGGGGGTGGAGAGGTGGGGGAGAGCTGGGCCGGGAGTGGGGGAGTCCTCCCGTGCCCGGCGAGCCAGCGCGGTGGGTACCTCGATGTCCGGCGTGTCCTTGCTGAGCACCGGGGCCATGGCCGTCCAGGTGGTGGTGGGGGGGGGTCCCCTCGGATGCGTCCTGCAGAGTCCTGGGTGCTCCAGCCAGAAACAAGCCGAGTGACAGCTCGGCGAGCTGGAGCGCAAAGACAGCGGGAAGCCCAGGACCCCGGGCGCGGGGCGGGGCCTCGGCCGGACCACGCCCTCCGTGGGCGGGGCCAGACGAGCTGTTTTTCCTCCCCAGAGGCCCCGCCCACCCCGCGGCCACACCTCCTCTACCCCAGCTCCGAGCTTGTTTTCCTCTCGGTTGCAGGGACAATGGAAGGAGGGAGGGAAGGGGGCGGGGAGGGAGGCCTGGCTCGCGGCTCTGGCCTTTGCTCCCGAAATTGGAAAAGGCTGAGCTAGATGGGCAGGCATCAAAGTCCAGGGATTGCTGGAATTCAACCGTGGGCGGGGCGCCACAAGGAACAAATTGTTCTTTTGATTTCCTCCCCTGGTTGTTGAACCCCACAAGGTGTAGAAACCTGGTCTGTGGGACACTGGATCAAGGAGAACTTCCTATCCAGCAGCCAGCAAATGAGTGACCACGACTTTGGGGCTGAGGTTGTGTGTGTGTGTGTGCACTAAGGGCCTAAGAACTGAGGGTGTGTGTGTGTGTGTGTGTGTGTGTGTGTGTGTGCACTAAGGGCCTAAGAACTGTCCTTTAACTTTTATTTCATTCAAGGCTGGTAATCTACCAATTGAGCCCACAGTTCCCCTTCTGTTTTTTTCTGGGTAGTTTATTGGAGAGAAAGAGTCTTGTGGAATTTCCTACCCAGGCTGGCTTTGAACTGTCATCTTCAGAACTCAGCCTCCTGAGTAGCCAGGATTACAGACATGAGCTACTGATGCTTGTCTCTACTTACTTCTTTTAAGACACTCTACCCTTTGGCAAGATTGTGAACACTTTGGCCTCCTTTTTGTTATTAATTTTTTCATTAATTCGCTCACCAAATATATATTTATTGAGCAATGTGCAAACACTGTGTTAGGATCTCTGGACAGTCTTCAAGAAGTATAAGTAGTGCCATAAAATACAAATCAAGAATGGAAGCAAAATGTGATGTCTAGTTGGCAAGCAAAAGAAGCAGGCCAGAAGCTGTGTGCTGGTGGCTCACACCTGTAATCTTAGCTACTCAGGAGGCTGAGATCTGGGGATCATAGTTCAAAGCCAGGCTGGCAGGAAAGTCCAAGTGACTCTTGTCTCCAATTAGCCACCTGAAAACCAAAAGTAGTGCTGTGGCTAAAAGTGATAGAGAACTAGCTTTGAGCAAAAGATCTCAGGGACAGCACCTGGGCTCTGAGTTCAAGCCCCATGACCTACAACCACAACAACAAAAAGGAACAAGACAGAGTTCTGGAATGGGGGTGATTTGAAAGGCTAGAAAAAGTTTATAAGAACAAAACTTTGGGTTATCTTCAAGAACCTGGTTCTTTCCAGGGGTTAGATGTCTCTTTTTAGAATCAACCAGTCATCATATCATCATCATCACCATCAGAAACTACAAAGCTGAATAGAAACTTCAAATTACATGTGACTTCCTTTTCTCATTCTCTTATTTAATCCTTATCCTAGCTCTAAGGATTCAACTAGCTGAACAGATCTGGAATTAGCCCTATTTCTTTATTTTCACTGCATCCGTCATGGTCGAAGCTACTGGGATTTCCACTGTTATTCCTTGTTCTTCCCTGTTCCAAATCAAGCTTTCAAGTACTAATTGACTGAGGTCCCACAAATATGAACACACACACACACACATACACACACACACACACACCTACCTCACTCATTCACACAGGGTTTAATATTTCATTGATCCGTTGCATCCCGAATATGTATCACGAACTCCTTAGAGGCCTCTGAATAACCTGCCTTCCTCACCTCTTCAGTCTGACTTACAGCCACTCTCACCCTGACTCATGTACTAGACATTAAATAATCTCATCACTAGTCACTCAGCACATTGTCCCCTGCTTAGAACTCTTTGTTTTCACTCTTCTAAATCTTCCTCATTCCATTCCCACTCACCACCAGTAACAACTAAATCTACCTTGACTCTGATCTTCTATTGCATAACACCTATTTTTTTTCTTCACAGAACTGCCCATTTTTATTTACATGCTTGAATGAGGCTTGCTTAATATATTTTTTTTCTGGTTAGATTGTAAGCTACAGGAAGAGAGGTTCTATGTCCACTTGGTTGGTGACTGTAAACTCAAATTTCTAGCCTGGGATTGAAATAGAAAGACCAAGAACACTAGGTAATTGTAGAAACAGACTAGCCACTGAGGTTTGTTTATGCATTAAGCAGGTAACTTTAAAAACTTTAATTTTCCTCTCCGTGTATTCCTCCCAGTGTTTATTTGCTGCTTAGAACTAAGTCACAATAATGTGTCAGTAAATTCCTAGTTAAGCCAGGCACTAGTAGCTTACGCCAGTAATCCTAGCTACTCAATAGGCTGAAATCTGAGAATTACAGTTCAAAGCCAGCCTGGGCAGGAAAGTCCATGAGACTCTTATCTCCAATTAACCACCAAAAAACCAGAAGTGTCTCTGTAGCTCAAGTGCTGGTAGAGTGTTTGCCTTGAGCTGAAGAGCTGAGGGACAGTGCCCAAGCCCAGAGTTCAAGCCCTACAACTGACAAAAAAAAAAAAATTCTAGTTAGTTAAAATATTTCAAATTAACTGCTTCCTTTTTCAGAAAAAAAATTTAAAAGTACCCGAGTCAGATGCTCTTTTATCTCCCTGTATTTATACTACAGTGCATATGTGCGTACATACATATACACAATGCATGTATTACATATATGCATGTTTACATATTAAGAAATGCATATCTCTATATTCATATGCACGTGGCTTTTGTGACATACATGTTGTATACACTTATAGATGATTCCTTCTCAGATCTAATCTGTAAAGTTCAGTGTTTAGAGGCCTTCAGAGATGCGGACACCTGTGCTTTCTTAGGTTGCACTTTGATGCAAATGTTAAAAGTTAAGCAATGCTATTGCCTTATGGGATACACAAATCCAATTTCCCCTTAAGAATAAGACACTGTACTTCTGTATTTGAGAAGTCATATGGAGAAATAAGTCCAAAAGATGCTACCTGTTAAAGGTAAACAGTTTTGTGAGTGGCAGTCAGTAACTAAATATACAATTCAAATTCCATTTTACCATGCCCCAAGTTTAGCAAACAGATGTATCTTGTTCTCAGATGTTTAATGAGGACCTTCATCCACATTGCTCACGTGCCACAGCTAGACCTTGTGATCAGTGATTAAATCTAATAATATTTGTAATCCATTAAAACTCCACATTAAACACAGTTGTACCTGTAAATAATTCAAGCGGTGGAACACTTCCTGCAAATGCATTCACACCACACTTTTTTTTTAAGTTGTAAATGATGATGGCATTTGTCAAGCTGTCCCTCCATATGGAAGCACGGCGAAATATCAGGTGTTCCACATTAATTTTTTTTGTAGGCTTTGTGGAGTCAGCTCATCTCTCCATGTAATAGTTTACAGTACATGAATGAGTATTATTATTATTACCCTAGTCAGAAGTAGGGCTTCTGAGTCATCTTTAATTTCACATCTGAAAAGTTATCCAATATCACAAATTTAGAAACACAATAAAAATTCAGATTTCCATATGCCTTTATCTTTCCCCTGTATTCTGGCATTAGGCTTAATTCTTTTGCATGAATTTGGAAGATGATTTTCTTCATAAAAACTTCATTGGATCTTTAAGCTCATGTTTTCCCCCATCTGACACTTGGGAGCTAAACTATTTCTGTCCAAACTGACCAGAAGGATAACCAATAACAACCACCTGAGTCCAAATATTTTTAGTATTCCCCCTCAAAAAAGACCAGAAGGCACATAGGAATTCATATTTCATGGAAAAAGCCAAGAATAATTCTTCAACTACATATAAGCCCATGTTGTGTAAATGTCCTAAGAAGCACCAGATAACACAGAACTAAAATACCTTAGAAATGTTCTTTTTTATATATACAATGGCATTCTATGCCTCCATCAGAAAGAATGACACTACCCCATTTGTTAGGAAATGCAAAGATTTGAAAAAAATTATCTAAGTGAAGTAAGCCAGACCCAAAGAAACATAGGTCCCATGGGTTTCCCTTATCTGTAATAACTAGTATATGTCTGGGACAAGCAGAAGAGGTCAAAAGCTATGTACATATGACTGTATAACGTGATGCTAAGCGAAATGAACCCCAAGATAGGGACACAAGATATTTTATCTTTCTTGTTGTTCTTTTGAATGTGCTTATAATGTACTATGTGATTTTTTTTGTTTCTTTGCATGTTCTTCCCCCATGGTATAACCCCTGTTTTCACTGTATTTGATGTCAGTGTCCTGCATCTAATTTGGGGTGGGGAAGGGAAATAACAAAATGCTGGAATAAGGATACAGGATGACTCATTGTTATAATGATATGTACAAGACACTATGTTGCAAATGAAATTTACAACTTTGCAGGGGGTGAAGCGGGATGAGTTCCTGAGTTGGGGAGGAAAGGGATGGTAGAGGAAAAACAAAGGAGGAGGTAACAATGCTTGATAGGAAATGGACGCATTACCTTGCTCATGTAACTGTAATCCCTCTGTACAGTATCTTTACAATAAAAATAGATTTAAAAAAAGAAATGCTTTTTAAATAATTATTTTATTATGTGTTAGTGATTCCTCAATGTTCAGTAAAATAACTGTCTTTACTATCATAAACCTTTACACTAGCTCAAAAACAAACAATGCTTTGAGTAAGTGGGGTTATTGTGAGAGTGGAATGTCAACATGTAACCAACATCATCTTGAAAACTGTGGTTTCCTGAAAAATCAGTTAAATATTCAAACAAAAATAAAAGTAATTCTCCAGTGCTCACATTCTGAGAAGGCATCTGTGGCCTGTTACAATTGATTTTGGTAGTCAGTTTGAATGCAGCGAGACACAGCCAGAAAGATGGGAATGATCTTTTGTAGGTATATCTGGTAAGGGGGTTTCCAGAAATAATTGACTGATTGGCATGCCAACTGAGAGGAAAGACCCTCCCTAAATGTGAATGGCACCTCCAACAGG